GTTTTTTTTTTTTTTTTTTTTTTTTTTTTTTTTTTTTTTTTTTTTTTTTTTGTCATACCTTTATCTTTTCAGATAATTGTTAAATATTGTATGTAAGTATATAACATTAAAGAAATATCAAAACTGCTAACATTTTTGGCAACCCCCTGCTGCAGGTCCCACAGCTTCCTGGGGGGGGTTATGACCCACAGTTTAAGATGACTGCCGTTTCTATTGCCAGCATAAGCAGAATTAAGAAAGTAAAGAATCTGAAATAAAGAAAATGTTGAATTTTCTTTTCCTAAAAAAAGAAAAAAGATAGAAAATGTTGTAAGCTCATGCTTAGATAATTTTGATTTGGTTATTTTAAGACGAGCAGTTCAAGACTTTTATGCCAAGGAAAGAAAGTACCAACTATAGCCAAACTGCTTCCTGTCTGGAAAAGAAAGTATCAACTATAGCCAAACTGCTTCCTCTATTAAAAGACACAGTTAGTTTTCCTTGGCAAAGAGAAGGATTTTCCGAGAAATTGGTTTCATCTGGAAAAAGTCTTGGAATAAAAGAAGCGTTTTACTAGACAGACCTGGCATTGTTTTGTCAAGAACAATGTATTTGAGGAATATTAAACATTACAGAGAAGAATCCCATCTCATAATTTGCATAGATGAAACATGGGTGGACAGCAATTATGCTGGCAATCAAAATCAGTGAGATTTTAGAAACAGAGAATACCTCTCGCATCATAATAATTTTATATGCTGGTGGTGAGATGGGTTTCATTCCCAATACTAGCTTAGTTTATAAAGTAAGCTCTACAACTGGCCATTATCACGGACAAATGAATTCTTCAGTGTTTGAAAAATGGGCAATCGAAAAGTTAATTTCAAACCTACAGCCAAATTCTGTTATAATTATTAATAATACACCTTATCATTTGGTGCAGTTCAATAAAGCCCTCAATGCCTCCCCGAAAAAGGAAGCTATAATACAGTGGTTGACAAAAAATATTTCTTTTTGTCCGAATTTGTGAAAATGGAGCTGCTGGATTAAGTGAAACAAAATGCTCCCAAAGTCAAGACTTTTAAATTTGATTGTATAATTGAATAACAAGACCATACAGTTCTGTGACTCCCAACATATTACTATAATATAAACGCCATAGAGTATGTATGGGCTGAGGTAAAAATTATGTTCGAAGTCAGAACATGACTGCAGAGATAAGCATGTCAAATTTATTACATTTCACAATTGAGGCTATTGAATGTATTTTGGTGAACAGTTGGAAGAAGTATTGTGATCATGTGAAGAATTTAGAAACTGAATATTGGAGAAAAGATTATATTATAGAAGAATAACTTGAATCATTAAATTTGACTGTTAGCGAGAATCTGGATTCTGAATTCTCTACAAGTTCAGAGGACCCTTAATGCTGTGTTGCCAAAGTACGTGTAAAGGGGGGAAAAGGTATGGCATGTCTAATTAAGACCAAAATAATTTTTACGCAACCTCTTCTCATTAAGCAGCTTTATTGTATTTATAGATCATTTGATTATATTAAGAAATGCAATTTATGACTGTATTATAAAATATCGCTGGAATCTCTTTCACGGGAGCACAGAATACACTGTCTCATTGGATTTGATTTTTTAAAAAAATTTTTTCCCCCCAACCTTTTCATAATCACTATCTGAAAAATCATCGCTTTCGCTATCTTCCATCATCGCCATTATTTTATTTTTCCAATGCTGCATCTTTCTTTATACATTACTAATCACAGCCCAAATATACTATACATAGGGAAACCGACAGCCCCTCCAAAAACCGCGCAACCAACAATTTGGCACGCCATTCAAACTAAATATTCCTTTCATTTCCTCCAGATCGTGAAAACCATATAAAAGAAATCATACTAACAAATTCTGCTTCGCACGAGTTTTCTTGAATAATAATTAACTGCAATATATACGAACCCGAGATAGCTCGGGATAATCAGGCAATCGGTTAAGCACAGAATGGGACTTTGTCCAGGTGCCTACTTCCATGTGACTGTATTGCCTATTCTTTTAAAAATCATAGTTTCCCATGGTATACAAAGAGAGTATACAAAGTTTATTTACCACTCATTATAATGTTCTGTAACTGTAAGATTTTAAAAATCATTATTAAGTATCTGTTGTGATGCATTATTGCACTGTATACATATTTGAATGTGAAGCATAATAAAGTTAAATTTAATAACTGTAACACATATTGAAATTTTAATTTTGTATGGTGTGTTTGAAATGTGTATGTATCATTATTCAAAATGTATTGATGTAGCACTTATATATTTTAATGTATATATTTATTTATGTTTTTGAATTGCCCATCACTGAATAAAAATTGGCCAGTTATCAATCTGACTGAAAATTTGAGAATATTATTTAGAACCATTTCGTTTTGCTTTATAATATAATGCTGATTTTGTTTTGTATGTGAGCCCAGAGTTCTCAGGAAATGCTGCTAATAGGAAAGTATCACTTGTTTGTGGTAGAATAATTTTTTTATGATTTTTATAATGTAAAATATTTCCTAGAAATTTATTATTTGTTCTGAATAGATGATTAATTTTTGTATTAAACTGAAGGCATCATTGAAAAGCTTAACTTATGTAATAAAAATTTCCCATTTTCCTGTTATTTATCTCATTTTCTACTTGTCTACTCCATTGGTTTGAAAAAGAGTAAGCAGTTTGGATAACTGAAGCAACAGATATCTGGAGTTCTGCTGTACTTATATAGGGCTTTACGATATATTCTCAGTTATGAGAACTAAGAATATTATTTTATTGATGTTCACAATAGTGGCCTAAATCTAGAGGCCCTATAATATTTTTATAATAATTGTTTCTTGTTATTTTAAAGCAAATATGATTATCATTTGAAATATTTTTAGGATTAAAAATGGCCTCATCATCCAGTAAGAAGCATTGCGGGGATAACAACTATCTAGAAATGTCTCCAGAAAGAGCTAGAAAATTATTTCATTCTGGTGGTGTACTGCTTATTTTGAATCTTCCTGTTGGCTCAGTATTTGGCATTGATATGAAAGTTTATCAAGTGGGTGAAAAATTCAAAGGCCTAAAAATGATTCCTCCTGGTTTGCATTTCATATATTACAGTGCAGTGAGCAAAGAAGGTTGTACTGCTCCTCGTACTGGCTTTTTTCATTTCTTTTCTCCTCAAGAAATAGTTATAAAAAAGTGGGACAACAGTAGTGAAAGTAAGAACATTTTTAAGCAGTTCCTGTATTGATGATTAATGTGTATTATCTTCTGTTTTTATTTTATTGAATTTTTATCTTGTTTGTTCATTTTAATGTAATTCTGTATATATTTGAATATACATATACTGTCTTTCTTCACATATTTCTCCCTTTTTTGTATTAATTTTATCGTCTAAAAATCGAGAGGAAAACATAAACTGAATAATTTAATTTCTGAAGTACACAGTTATAGTAAGAGCATAACAAATAAAATGTAGTCATGGATAAATACAGGTAACTGTCACAATATTATTTCTTAAAAAATTGCATTAATATTAACATTACGATATCTAATGAAATGTCTTCATTTGTACTTCCTTGTAACTTGAATCTTGTCCATTCTTATTGTTGTTTCTGCTACACCTTATTCCTCAAATCCTCTGTAAATATTAGGTCATCTGGAAAGTTCTGTAGTTTTAAATAGCAAAGAGCATTTACTTCTAATCATTTTGTTACTACTGATTAGGAGTGATCTTGATTGAAGCAGATATTTAAATATGACCTTTTCTATTCATGTTGCTTAATTCTTGCATGTATTGTTGTGTAGGAACCCCCCGGTGGCGAAGTGGCTAGCACGTCGTGCAGCTGCACCACAGGTCCGGAGTTCAGTCCCCAGGCTGGGCTAGGTTGACTCAGCCTTTCATTCCTTAAGTGGGTTGATAAAATGAGTACTAAGTTCGCTTGGGGACTAAACACCGGGGCTCCTGCAACAAGCTGACCACTTGCCCAGGGCATGTGCACTCTGGGGCCCAAAGGTCAAGAAAGCAGAAAAAGGGCACTGCAGGTTGTGGCCCATTAGGGCTGTGCACCACTGAGTTTAGTTTTTTTATTGTTGTGTAATTCCCCTCCCACCAGATAGTGCTACGAATGAAGAACCATGAAGATCATTTTCATCATGATATGATCTTTTATTTAAAAAAAAGGAAAAGGTGCTAGTCAGACTGCTTGCAAGACTTGTGCTATATATGGACAAAGTGCTATTTCTGATGGCATTTTTTTTAATTGTTATGTGCTACCTTTATTTATTAAATATCATATTCTTTACACTTAAACCACATAAAATTCAATTCAACACCAATGGCACAAAATATTTAAAAACAGCATATCTTAAGAATTTCTGAAAGACAGGATGGAGATAAAAATGTTTTTTTTTGGTTCAGTGTTGCCATTGCTCACTTTGAAATGATTAAGTTTGTTAATGAAAAACTCATTAAAGCTGTACAGAATATGAAATAGATAATAAAACAAATTCAAGCTTCCAGGTGGCCATGTTCGGATGGAAGATTACATTATTCAAAATTTGATGGCTCTATGTACCATCGTGTTTTTACAATGCGAGAAACATACATACATTCGTGCAGATTCGTCATTATTTAACTTCTTTAGATATAATACATGATGATAATATTTGTTGGCAACAATTTAAAAAGTTTATAGTGAAATGCCACAAAATGTTGTTGAGACTAATAGGGGTTCTGGGGTGCCGACTTCTTGGGCTAAAATTTTTTAGAATCTATTGTTAAAAAGCTGGAAAAGGGGGGGGGAACACACGAAGAAATACAGTAATATTAATTGCATATGTTAAAAAGAAATTCTAGAATAACAGGTATGAAAAGTTTTAGAATTGAGATGAGACTGGTAGCAAATTTAGAGTAGTATAGATCAGTTGTGGCTGAAACTTGATAAATCAAGTGCTTTAATAGTGCATTTGATCTTTCGGGTTTTTAGCATATTTGAGGCATTAACTGAAACAGAAACATTTTGGATGTTCTGCATATTTTCTAATCAAAGCTTAGCATTGCTCTTCATTTTTATGCCAAAAGTAGAAAAATGACCATTAAAATCTATAGTAAAAAACACATTGTGTGTAAAACTGTCACTAATTAGTACTCTTTAGGTTGCTATGTCAATGATTGGTCTAAATTCTTTATTTTGTTTTAATGCTTTTGATTCTTACTCAGAGTGTGCGTTTTTATTCTAAGGATTATTCAATTTCTTAGTAAACCATCTTAGTTCTGCTAATTTTAATAAAAAATCTGTTTAAAGCAGAATTAAACAGAAAAATATGTAGAATGATTATTGTGTACTGAGAATTAAAAGTTTTCTTTTTATTTATTTATTTTGCTCAAAGTTGTGTAAAATGTTTTTTGTATTACTTTAAATTAATAAGGCATAAATGTACTTTGTAATATTTTTAAAAGCAGTAATTGGCCATTTGCAAAATATGTCCTCTGATTAAAGCAAAGTTTTGTGAATGGGAGATTGTATAAAAACTGTTTTATTTACTTTAAATAGCTATAATACATGATCCATTTAAAAAGAATTTTTTTCCCCGTGAAATGTATAATTATTTTGGTAAAATCTAATTGCAGTTTTGCTTTCATTTGGTTATACATACATATATATAAATTACTGCATGTTTTAATAAAAGTTCAGAATGAATTCTGATTCTTATATTTAAATATTAAAAATGCTGCACATCATAGGGTGGAAAAATTTTGATTGATAACAAAGTGTAATCATTTGGATTAATGTACTACATCTTTTAACCAAAAGATGGTCAATATTCTATTATCATTATATACAGCAGCATGAGTATGTATTTGTAGTTTACTACAGAAAGACTTATTTTCACAGATGTAATGTTTTCTACTGTAGGCATACAGTATCTGTATTGGAGTAAATATGTCACTCATGTATTGCCTATATATTTATGTTGATACAAAATATGTATTATGTCTAAAAGTTACTAAAATCAGGGGTGACTCTAGTCCGGATATTGCTAGAATTCCAGATTTTTTACTTTCCCAAATCCAAAATTTCTAGATATATAAATTTTAGGCTCATTATTTTTCTCAAATTTAGTTTTAGAAAAAATTTCTGGTTGTAATGAAAATTTTCACACACACACAAAAAAGTTATTTTAATAAAGTTAGGAAAAAAAAAAAAAAAAAAAACAAAACTATGAAATCAGTATCTTTAGTATGAGTAGTAATCACACCACCCAAATCTATTATTTTTCTGCCATTGTTTTGGTATTTTTCAAAGCCTTCAGTTTAGAAACTTGTGGCTGTGAGTCCAAAAACAGATCAACATAATTTCGAATGTCCTGTGCAGAATAGAAAATAGCATCAGCAAGATGTAGCAGCAGGTGTGAAAAAGGTTGAAGTTCGAAGGAGTGATGGGCAGGGGCTATATGGTGGGCGTAGATCCCATTCACGTCCATACAGAACCCAGCCAGTGAATGCAGACACATGTGGTCTTAAATTATCTTGATGGAACGTTACCTTTTCGTGTCGGAACTCAGTTTGATGTTTTTTCTTGATAGCAACGTCAACATGGACAGCATCTCGCTGTACACTTTACTGTTGAGGGTTTAAATTTTTTTTCAGGTATGCTTTATGGAAAATACCACAGCAATTCTAACATATACAAAGCATGATCCTTTTTTGTTAATCAAATTTAGCTTTGCAAGGCTGCCAAAGGTCTTACCGGGCATCGACCAACCCCCTTTTCAAACTATGTTGTTGAAGTAACTGTATGCTTTACAGTCTAATCTGACGGGCTAACCAGGCACAAACAAACACACCGTTTTTGGCCTGGGTTGTTGAAATAAATGATCTTTTCATCAGAAGTGATGATCTGGTCCAGAATTTGGTCCTTGTGATGATATTTAAGCACATTAGTGTAGGCCTGAACATGTCTGTCCTTATCTGCTTGTGTGAGCTCATGCAGCATCCAGCGATTGAACTTGTACATCAAGTTTATATGATGCATAGCATGACTAAAGAACATGGCACTAACATCTAACTCCTTAGCAAGCTCTCGAGTGGTTGCATGCTGATCTTCTTCCACAAGTTCTCGCAGGCAGCTCTCATCAGCGTCATTAGACAGGCCAGAGTGCTCTGCTTCTTGAATGTCATAGTCCTTGTTTTTGAAATTTCTGTACCAAACCTTCAGAGTGTTATATGATACAACATTAGTAACTAAAGCTGTATACATGATTTGATGACATTTTGCTACAGAACTGGAAGTAAATGATGGTTCTAATATGGTAGCATTTCAGACACCTTGTGCTGAATAAGAACAATATTTTTTTACAATTTCACAACACAGTGTTCTAAAACAAGTATCTTTTTTTCAAATGACAAAAAGTATGATTAAACGCGGCACTGTGAACTGTTTGCTCAGATAATATTTGCAGTGGTGGGAAACTTTTGTTAAAACTCTATATATCATTCAAGATTATAAGAATTTAAACTTTTAGATTATATAAAGTTCAATGAGAGATCAAACTTCTCATATGAAAAAATTGACTCTGTTCAGATAAAATGTATATTTTACATAAGATAATTATTTTTTCTGTTATAGAAATAGATGCTCATTATAGAGAAACAGAAAACAAAACAAAACTAAAAAAAAAAAAAAATTATATTGTGAAGTTTTGGCTGAAGTAATCTAATTAAAATAAGATTGAAAATAGTACTCAGTATAAACAAAACTGAGTAAATCTCTTTTAACATGCTGTTATCAACCTGTTGCTGGAAGTTCGTTTATTTATATGAATGGTGTTACGACAATGTAGAACATCCTTGAGTACTGATAGCTCAAATGCTGCTCAGACTGTGAAATATTATTTATTCACATTGCACAAAAATACACATGTAACTTTTGGGTCAGAAAATCTATTTAGAGACCCTGTTGCTAAAGATATTAGGGATAATTTATTGAATAAGTGGACGAATTACCAAAATTCTTTACAGTCTATGAGCTATTCTCTTGTATATAGCAATTTCTTATCTGTGATACTTGTTGATATGCAAACTCTGAAATTGTAATCTAATGCTTAGAAGTTATGTGAAAAACCATTGTCTACTTCAAAATGTCTAGTGTGATATACTAGACTTTCAGTTACAATGCATATATATAAAGATAGCAGTTCCCAGAAAGCTCATGAATTGTTCAAAAACCATTATATGTATTTCACTATAATATTGTGAACTTTTTAAAATTATGTCAGATTTTTTTCTTCATGGTAGTTTTGAGGAGTTTTGAAGCTCAATTGCAATCGTCCCTGTAAAATGGAACACACTTTCTGTTTTAGGAATTTGGGAGGAAGGAGAGATCAGTTTTTTTTTAAATGAAAAAGGAGTAAAATGTAAATTTTCTCTTTCATATTGTTTTTGGTAAAAATTTTTATTTTCATTTATTTTGTTAAAAAATTCAGTTTAAACATAGTATCTAAATAGTAATATCATATTATATTTCTCAGATCTGAATTGTGTGGATGCATCTGAAGAAGAAATACAAAGAATAAAAGACAACCTGCAGGATTTGGATAGATATTTAGGTGCATATCCTTACCAAACTTTGAAGCAGTGGAATTATTTGACATGCAACATATCTGGTAAGATAGTAACTTTGTAAACTTTGATTTACAGTAAAAGATTTCTTTTATGCTTCTGTAGCATCAATTAAGTTTATATTACTTGAACGTTTTTTTACTAATAACATTTTAAACAAGATTTGTCTAGTTCAGAGTGTTTTGAGAAAGATCTGACACTAGTTAATTGCATTAGTAAATAGAGATATGTTTTTTAACAAAAAGGGTGATTGGCTGCAGAAGCCATATCAAGTCAGAGCTAAATGTTCTCAATAACACTTGTGGATGTTTTTATAAAAGAGGTGGGATAAAGACCAATGAGTTGCTACTCTGTTGGAGTGGTTTTAAACATTTAAGTAAATTTTTAGAAAGTTTAACAGTATCCATAACAAAATGACTTTTGCAAGATAGGATGAGTTAAAATGCAGCTAAAAAAATAATGAAATTTGTTAAATGGGAATGCTATCCAGAGAAATCCTGGTTGTACCACCAGGCTAGACATAACTTCAGTATAGAATAACAGGCTGGAAGGAAGTTTGAATAGAAACAAAATAATCATATATTCAAAATCATTGTAGTCCGAAGACACTTTATTCGATTAATTTCCTAAACCAGAACCATTGGTCTGTAACCAACCTTTCAAGATATATTTAGTTTATATTCTTTTTGGACAAATTAAAGAAGTATTCAGAATTACCAAGAAGGAATCATCCGATTACTTAAATTTAACATTTCCCATAACTATAAACAGAAAATTATAAATATGCCATTGTGAAGGGGAAAAAATGTTTCCCCTTCACAAGTGTTAAATATGACTTTATTCACTCGTATAATATCAAAGTGATATGCCATTTCTTGCCAAACATGTTTTAATGTTTGTCTATTAACTGTTTGTAAAGCATCACAAATGCCAAACTTGTACACAAAGGTGCTATGAACATTAGATCTTTGACATATCCTCACAGGAAGAAGTCACATGAAAATTAAGTCAGGTGACCTAAGAAGGTAGCTATCATCGGCTGCACTGTGACGAGTTTAATGGTGTGGTAGTTTCCTGTTTAAAAATTTATGAACCTCCAGATGTCCAGTAGAGTGGTGTAACATGCTATTGAAGAATAGAATTTTTCTTATCTTCCTTCAACTGAGGGTAAAGCCATATTTCCAACATATTGAGGCAGGTAATACACCACAGTGATTTTTTGGCGAAAAAGAGCAGTCTATAAACTTTTGATCAAAATATTGCACAAAAGATGTTTACTTTTGGGGATCCATTACATGTTCAATGTAAGCATAAGAATTTTCTGATCCCCAAATTCGCACAGTATGGTGGCTTACTTTGCCTTCATTATTGAATATGAGTTCAGGTGCCTTCATTATTGAATATGAGTTGATTGCAAAAATGTTCGTCATGCATAGCTTCATCCATGAAAAGGCAGTAGTTTAGACATTGCAACTCATCACTTCAGTGCTTGCATTCTTTGCAATTTGTACAATATGCAATTTTTTTTTCAGCACAATTCAAACGGTAGACTAACGTATCCTATATTCATGACCAGCATGAACTGTCAATTTCTTTGGACTGCATAAAAAGTCTCTTGTACTCTTTCAACATCTTCTGCTGAAACATAGACTAGACTTTTGTCTTTACACAAGCATCTAGTTTCCTGGAATTGGATACCAACTTCTGATACTCTGAGATGTCTGAGCTTTATTTGTATAGCACTTTCTCTTAAATTCACACTGAACTGTGTTTACTGACTGACTTCTTGCATAGGAGAGCACACAGAAAGCTTTCTCCTGCTTTGATGCCAGTTTTACTTTTTTTTCAAAAACAGCCTAATGACAACAGTGCTGCCACCTATTGCTAAAGACAATGCTACAAACTAAAAATTTAACATTTCTCCTTTACAATGACATATTAATTATAACTTAATGACATTGATGATGTTTTAATTTAGGATAATAAATGGATGATGTTTTTAATTAATTAAAGTTTGTAATTGAATGTTTCTTTCTTGATAATCCCTTGTACAAAATCAGTAAAGTGAACGAAAGTGTTCTTTTATGTATGCAAAAGTATGAATTATCTTTAATCTGTTTCCATTTAATTTGTTCAACACTAGAATTTCATTTATAAGCTGTTCAATAGTCATTCATCAATACTGGATGCTTGCTGGCATCAGGACTCAGTTATCAGTTTTGAAAGACAGCCATTTATTAAAAATGAAGCAAAAAAAAAAAAAAAAAAAAAAATGTGCAATTTTTTTTTTTTTTTTTTGAAAAGTAATTGGCGGTGAAGGATTTTCTGATACGGGAAAAGGTTCTCCTTTTCCTGCAAAGTTAAAGAAGTCAGAAGAATTAATTGCAAAATGAAGAAATGGATGATCTTATAATACCAGCATAAAATGAAAGCAGTGATAACAAAGAAGATAATGTGCTTTTAATTTACAGTAGGTTAAATTGTTAAAAATGGCCCAGAAACTGCATTATTTTGTGGTGGAGATTGAACCAAATAAAGAAAGCAGGGATCTGTTAATGAAAGGCATTAAAATCTCTGTGCTGGGTACCATAAAACTTTTAAAAAATAGCACCAGTCATTGCCCCAAGCGAAAATCGCCAGCTGTTTAAAAAGTTAAAAGTTTTAATTTTTTAAAAAAGTAATTTTATCTTGCATGTATTAAGCCATAATAAAATTCCTTTCAGTTAATATTTAATTTTTTTTCTTTTAATTACAAAACTATTTAGGTTTAAATTTGAGTTATACCTAAAATTTTTTTTCCCATAAAAAGTTAACTTTGCAGAGCACAATTTTGCCATACATATAATGTATTAGTGACATAATTCCCATGTTCGACAAGAGCTTACTGAAATTAATTTTATTAGGGAAAAAATAATGACATATCTGTAATCTCAATTACAAAAGAAAAAAAAGTTTTGTCATGCTTATTTTATGTATGTATTAATTTTGTTTGTCATGCATATTTCATCAAAAAATATGGACCTTATTTTTAAATTACTATGTTGTTCTTCATTGGAATACTAAAATAATGAAGAAGTTTTACTGCATACGGGCGCCTACCGAGATGGGAAAGATAATATATGCAGTAAGTGGCCAGTGGTAATGATGCCACTGCCTTTAACCAAGGCATATTGTGGTATGCATAAGTTCATATTTCGGTTATCTAATTGTTAGTTGTGCAGCATTTATAGTGATTAGGTGATACTGTCATACTAGTGTACCCAGATTCAAATTCTGAGAAGGCATAGATATTCATAAGCATATAGTGTTTGTGCAGCTAGGAATACACCAAGTATCTTTAGCATCGTCATGCAGAATACTGATAGACACCTTTCCTTTACCATATATGTATTGAGTAAAATTTACAGCCCACTCTCCTACAGCTCAGTGGTTAAATTTATGACAAACTCTGTAGACTTGTTAGTATCGGTATGTATTTTTTTATTTGAGGCAAACAATAGGTACATATACAAAAAATATTATTAATATTTTTATTGCACTATGAAACAGCAATAACAAAACAGAAAACGGTGCAAATTTATAAAGCATTATTCCAAATTATTAAAAAAACAAAAGCTAAAATACAATATATTTAGTTTGCCCGTGTTTTTAACTAGATGTACATGATGGAAAACAACGGAAATGTCTTATAGATATGTTTTGAAATTGATAGAAATTGTAATATAGTAGATATAAAATAATTAAATAAATAAAATTTTTACAATGTAAATTATAAAAGTAATAATTTATAGAAATATCTCTTATATGTTTTGAAATTCATAGAAACTGAAAGCTTCTAGCTTTACCTTTGTAAGATTCATTAATAAGAATTTCAATATCCAGCTGGCGCTCTCGACTTTTATCGCCTTTAAATGGTAATTTTGTTTAGGTCATTGTTTTATAATGTTCAATGTTTGTTTGATATACAACATGTTAAACTCGGGTAACAAAAGGTTAAGTTAGATTCTGACCCTTATTTGTTTAACGATAGTGCGCACAACGCCATTTATCCCTTGGAGGTAAATTTTTTAACTTTTTTCCCAAGGAAAATCAATTTCCATGACCTCCTTTACACGATCACCAAGTTTTATAACATTTGGCCCAGTAGGTTTCCTTTTAGGAACCATTTCAAAGTGAAACATTAATTATAACCCCTATACTCGGCCAAAGACGTGGATGATTAGAGAGGGCCGAATATGCTTCTTTGGATTATTTGTCTTGCTGTCTCGAACATGATGGTACTAACTGAAAGGTATCAGAACCTGAATCTATTAGATCTTCATTGGCTTGCTTTCTAATTCTGATGACAACTATGAAGTTGATGGAAATGGTAAACCAATGTTATAAGTAAAAGTCTTGAAAATTCTTGTCTTGAAAATCCATCAGCTTCCAAAAAAGTTGGCAATTACTAAATTGCTCTTCTCTTAAAGTCTTCCTCCCATTTTTGCTTAATCAAGTTTTGATAAAGAGACAATTTATTTTTCTCTTCTCTGGCCATCTATGTTTTATATAAAAATTATTAATGAAAATTCAATATTTAAAACTTTTTTATTAATGCCAAATTTTATTAAATATTTATAGAAATCAGGTAAATTGAATGCATAGTTAAAACTGTGTAAGTTTTTTTAAAGCATTGAAGTGCCACTGAATTAGGGATAAAAGTGTATATATAATAAAGCTTCTACTGAGCTTGTGAATACATTGTTGTATGATTATATGTAGCTAGAAAAGCAGACATTTCTGAGCAGTTTTTAAAGGTATAAGTAAAACTAATGAATTAGACATTGTTGACTGAGGACAAATAATAGGTGCTTGACGATTGGGTCATTCCGTTTCAGAAATAGTTTGAAAATTGGCATTTTCTAGTTCAATGCAGGGTTCGTAGCGGACCTTACAAGTGCTTATAAGTCCTTATATTTGAAAATAAAATATAAAGGCCCTTATAGGTGCTTACTTTTTCTTTAAAGCCCTTATTTTTTTGTTTTTAGTGCTTATTTTTTGCTTT